TCCTGAAATTCAATTGGTTTGCGCCACGATAAAGTCATGTGACCGGAAAATTTTTTGTGGTATAATTACATAGGTTTCCTGGGTCAATTTTATAATAATGCGGGCTTATTTTTTAAAAAAGTTAATTCCGGTCGGAAATTAGTAAACAATTGTGTAATGCGGGCCAAAATTTTGAAGATCATCGGCCGTTAGCCAATCAAAATCGAGGATCTGCCGCGCATTTTAAAAATACTGAAATAAGTAATATGTATGCGTAATTACGTCACTCATCGGCTTATAAAGCAATTACGGACCCATTTTTCCGCTTATTACTAGCATTGTTTATATAATTGGGCCTTTAGAACCAAGTAAATTTTTCTCAATATTTTTCAAGATAATTATGTCTATTGTACCAACTGACTGGAGACTTCTTCTCAGCGAAGATGAAAGGAAGGCTAATATTAGCAGGCTTTATAAGGGCTTAGAGCTCCTTAATCAACCTCAAATATATAAGTTTAACGTATCGAAACGATGGGAAAATGACTCTTATAATAGTGCAAATTCCAAGGATGAATACATCCAGTTGATTGGAGCCAAGTTACGAGAGTTAACTAATAAAATACCAACTTTATTACCTCAACAATTATCAAATTCACAACTACAGCAATTGCAGCAACAAACTCTGGCACAACCTTTTCAACAACAACATCAACAACCAGCTCCTTTTCCACGAAAACAGCAGCAGGCACAGGCACAAACCCAAAGATTATTATTGCAACAGCAACGTCCGAACTTAGCATTTGCTCAACAGCAACAACTACAGCAGCAACATACACAAAGAAATGCTGCGTTATCACAGCAACCTCAAGTAGCTCAACAACAATCGCAACAAGCACAAACTTTACTACCTCAGCAATTACCAAATTCACAATCACAGCAATTGCAACAAAAAATTTCGATGCAGATTCTTCAACAACAGCAGCAGCCGATTACTTCTCCACAACAACAGCATGCACAAACCCAAAGAATTCTATTACAACAGCAACGTCCAATCTTAGCGACTATTCAACAACAACAACAGCAGCAGCAACCACAGCAACAACAGACACAAAGAAATGCTGCGTCATTACCGCAACCTCAAGTAGCTCAACAACAGTCGCTGCAAGCACAAACTTTACTACTTCAGCAACTACCAAATTCACAATCACAGCAATTACAACAAAAAATTCCGATACAGATTCTTCAACAACAACAGCAACCAATCCCTTCTCCACAACAACAGTATGCACAAACCCAAAGAACTCTATTACAACAGCAACGTCCAATCTTAGCGACTATTCAACAGCAGCAACAACGACAACCGCAGCAACAACAGACACAAAGAAATGCTGCGTCATTACAGCAACCTCAAGTAGCTCAACAACAGTCGCATCAAGCACTATCTTTACTACTTCAGCAATTACCAAATTCACAATCACAGCAATTGCAACAAAAAATTCCGATACAGATTCTTCAACAACAGCAACGCCCGGCCTTAGCGGTTGTTCAACAACAGCCACAGAAACAACAGACCCAAAAGAATGCTGCGTCATTACATCAACTTCAAGTTGGTCAACAACAATCGCAACAAGCACAAGCTTTACTACCTCAACAATTACCAAATTCACAATCGCAGCAATTGAAGCAACAAATTTCGATACAGACTCTTCAACAACAGCAACAACCAGTTCCTTTCCCACAACAACAGCAGCAAGTGCAAATTCAAAGACTCCCAATACAACAGCCACATTTGCTCTTAACGACTGTTCCACAACAATTATTGCAACAACAACCACAGCAACAACCACCACAACAGCAACAGCAACCTCTTAATATAAACCATGTTCGCCCGAAATTTCCGGTTATGCCATTTATGCGTTCTAATGTTTCCAATGTTCAGATGCCTTTTATAAATAATTCCAAAACACAACCTGGGTCACTAACAACGTTGACTGAGAAGGAAGAGAAAGAAGCATTAACTATGATAAGGCAAATAGATAATAGAGCTAAAGAAAGGAAAAAAATTCAATATCACGAAGTTGACCTTTCTGAAGAGGACAAAAGACAAATATGGATTAAGTTGTGTGAATTTGCTCCGATATACGAAAAAATTGATGAAATATTACCATACGTTTGGCATTACACAAAATCAAGTCAAGATACATATCGACTATTGGGCATGAAGTACATTATAGAAGATCAATTAAACGCTCTATCTTCTGGAAAATATATACTTAAACTGAACCTTGTTGAAAATTTATTACAACAAATCCGTAAATATTTTGTTTTCGTGGACAGTCGTAGAAGAGATATTGTTGTTCCCCCACAACAACCTCAACCAGGTGCTGAAAGTCGATTTAGCCCACTAATAAAGTCAAATTCATTGGATTTGAAGCTTCCAACAATGCCGAGACACGTTAAGGATAACTCAGCTACTTCTGATAGCTCATCAATCCCTACAAAAAGATATCAACCGTCAGTTGACCAAGATGTACCGCAATCGAATAAGAAGCTGCAAATCGATTCCAATAGTGTTAAATGCGCTGCTGATAGCACGTCAGTTATTAATCAAAACAATCCTATCGTAGTTTCAGATGAAACCAAGCAAAATATTCCAGCAGAAATATTGCCAATTAATACTGATAATCAAAATAACCCTATCGTAATTCCAAAAGATTCTAGACAAAATATTTCAGCAGAAATATCGGCACCTAATATCGCTAATCAAACCAGCTCTACCGTAATACAAGAATCAGATAAGGATGTTGCCGTTACTGAAGATTATCACGCAGGCTCACAACTACTTATGAATCAATTAAATAAATTGTTGTGTAATGGTTCGACAATGGCGCAAAGGCAAACGATTGAAGGATATTCTCCATATGAAGAAAGTGAAAATAGAGCTATAATTGTCTCTTTAATCAATGCTGCTTAAATGTGTATTATCTATAGTATGATAACGTCATTCAAACAATTCTTAAAATTATTTTATGAAACTACAAAATTTTATTATTTTGTCATACAACTGTCCCTTTTTAAACATGTGAATAGCCATATATTTTGTTTTATTTATTTGTCTTTATTTTTTTATTCTTAGAATTAAGATTTCTCGAGTGCATAGATAGCAGTTAAATGATAACCTTATTTTATTTTCAGTAATGATTTTCTAACAATAAATGTTTATTTTTGTAAAATTTTAATTAAAAATAAATCAATTTTTATTGAATCTGATTAGTAATGCCAAGATACTTTCATTTAAGGTTTTAATGTTAAAGTATAATTTTGGTTTTATTTTCATTTATACTTTATAAAAATTTTATATTTAATCTAATACTTTAAGATTTTTACACATTTTTGAAATTGATAAAATTTAAATATATATTATAGAAAAATGTGACAATATTAAAAAACTTAAGTCTTGCACAAAAAGAGTACTTTGATTCGATGAGAATTTTTTATTTTTTGATTAGTAGCTATCTGACTTTGCTGAGTCTAATTATATGGAATATAACCTTTTCAAATAATAAATGACATTGGCTTTTAAAGCCTTGAAGTATTTATATACATTACATTAAATTTAATTTATAAATTGAATTAATCTACAAGGCTAATTGCAACTTATTGTTATAAAATGAAATAGGTATAAAATAATTTCTATTTTTTTTTTTTTTAAACGGTCCTGCTTTATTTCTTAAGTAGTTAACTTATACAAATCATTACAGATTTAGTATATACAGACTAAGTTTAACCCTAATCTACATGTCTCAGGTTTCCCAAATTCATAATGTCTACCTGGCTACTCTATGGTGCCCAGATCGACTGTTTAGCACCTAATTTTTTCTCACCTTCAGCCCTCAACTTCCTGAAGGTACTTCTCCAGATCTACAAATAGTAGTTACTGGCCAAATTTGCTATGGTATATGTCTCACCTATATATTCACCCAGACTTTAGCAACCTATGCCACAGCTTGACCCATGTACTTGGGATTAGAGCTAACTATTAAACTTCTGCATTTAACTAGTACTTGCTGTGTTGTTGTTACTAAGTTTGTATCTCAAGCCACCCTTTAGAATATTGCTATAACCTAGTCTATATTTCAAGCTACAGCCTTTCTAATTAGTTATCTATTACTTACTTCTTGCCCTTGTATAGGTTTACAACAATCCTAATACCCATATTTGGACTATCATCTTATCCAGATTCTTTATTAGTCTCTTCTTTACTTCTAGCTAGTAACCTAAAAAGATTGGTCTGTTTAGGCTTTAAGTGTTTTATAGTTTTTTTCATCTTGGTATATACTTTCAAAGTATATATTCTTTTTCTCTAATATGTCTAAACCTAGTGTTTTAGCAGTATATTCTCCTACTTAAGGATCTGGTTGTTTAGTTCTCTAATCTTGGGCCCTAGTTCAAATTTGGCCTTCCTGTAGTACTATCAAAAATTACTGCTACACCCAACTCAGAACTTTCAAATAGGTTTTCAGTTATTTTAATTCCTTGGATTTATTATACCAAAGCTTCTATAACTAGATAGTGTAACCAAAGTTACAAATTTAGTTCTAGATCCAACCTATAATTGATAACTATCAACTGTAACAACAAGCCTATTTTTCAAAATCATCATTGGTGAGATTTAAACTTTAGACCTGCTACTGAAAGAGAGTGCCAACTAGACCACAATACTAAGTTGCTACACCTCTTATAAAACAATTTTTATATTTATTATAAATGTATTAATTATATATATAATCTAACATATATATTAATATAAATTAGAAATTATAATTAATATAATCTTTCTTAAATAAATAATTTAAGAATTAAAAATTTAATTATAAAGAAAATAATATATTAAAAAAAATTAATAACTATTATTTAATTTTTTACAATTGTTTAGTTCTTGATAGAGCTGACAAGGTCTTCTGACCCACTTGTGGGTTGGTGCGACAAGTTGCATATGGTGCACATGATGTATCCAGATGATGCTGGGCTTACAATTATTAATTAGATATTATTAGAAATCTTTAAACTTTGTTTTTAGTCTAGTAGTAATATAATTTGTATTTGAGCACTGACAAGACTGTTAAAGAATTAAAAAAAAAAATTTTTTTGCAATTTGTATATTAAATTAAGTTATGAAAAGTTATATTCATAACACCATGTTATATAACACCCTATACTAATCCTATGCTATATCTCAAAAACGTACTAAGTAAACGGGATCAGATATTTTAAGTAAAAATACTTAGAACCCATGAAAACTTCACAAAAACTAAAATTGGAACGCATATTGGAAATGTGTGCTAGGTTTGTAGCATAGCAAAAATCTTCAATGTCCGTTTATATTAGGGTTAGGTCCAGGGTTATGGGCTAAAGTAGAATAAATTATATAGTAAAATTGTCCAACGAAAACTATTTGTTAGAGTACCAAAGAAGGTTTCTTATATAAAATTTTGAGTAGTAAGTGATTTTTGACAAAACAGATGTTTGTTTTGATCCTTTCTAATCATGTTACATTACAACTGATCTTAAAATCTGATTCGTAGTTTATGGTGTCTGCGCCACAAACCTGGCACACATTTTCGATATGCAATTGGAACTTTATATCTAGTATATATTATATTATATAAAAAACTCCTATATATATTAAAGCTGCACCCTAACCCTAATTTAACTTAAATACAAAATATATAGGGTGTTATGATAACACAGTGTTATAAATATAATATTTCTTAAGTTATATATATTTATATTTTTTTCTTTAATAACTATATACTAATTTTTTTATTTTTTATTTTTTTTTTAAATTCAGCAGTCTTGCCTCTACTTTATTAGGCTTTATAATATTATACTATGAAATATTAAAAAATTTTTTAAGAGGCTATTCCTTTTGACACCTAAATTACAAGTATTAGCTCACCCAGTTATTCAAAGAACACCTATGTGCGACCTGCTATAGTAAGTTTTACCTTCATATTAACTTGTCCTGCACTTGGATTTGTTAATACTTTGACAGAAGATTTTTATAGCCTGTCAAGACTACTAATTAATTTTTTACCATTCTACATGTTGACTGCTTATAATCTAACCTAATACTTAATTTCTCACTATTTCAAGTATTGAGGTCCACCTTTCACTTTCTTCTTTTTTCCTACTTTTTTTTTCAAGCAATTTGCTAGATACGGTTTTCTTCACATCTCTAGCCTTCTTCTTCTTTCTTTCTTGCTTAGATTTTGAGATAACATTCTTCTTTTCTTTGGGCGCTATACCATTTTCTTTTTCTCATTTCTGTACGAGTTTGTATCTGGGGACCCATATTGTCTCATGTATTCTTTTTATCCAATTCTTCCAAAGCTGAATTATGAACTTCTTTGCTTAATTGTTAGAGTTGAAAAAAGGGCAAATCTTTTTGACGTCACTATTTGTAATGAGTTCTCTGATCTATTTTTCTCTTCTTCTCAGTTCTTTAGATGTATTTCCTTTTTCTAGCATTACAAAAATGTCTTTTTTATCTATACTTATATCACTTTTTTTTTCGAGCTTTTTTAAAATTAGTTCTACTTCTTGTTCTTTTATACTATACAGCAATCTGAGAGAGACTTTGCAGCTAACTAGATACTCAACATTCTCAGTTTTCTTTTTACATACTACATATTTGTTCATTTTGTAAATATCTAGTTTTCTCTGACTTAGCCTTTCGAAAACCGGTAATAAATTGGTTATACATTTTAATTCAAAGAGCTAAATGTTGTTTGATATGAATATATGATCTTGTTGCTTAATTCCACTTTTTAAAAGATTAACCAATATTGATAAGTCTTTCTTTCTCTATGTGTAGCATTTTGAGTACTATGTGCGAATATCTATTCTGCCTTGTTTATTACTTTTCCTAGCATCTTAGTAAAAGAACATATTGGCTTTCTACTAGTTTATTTTTCTATTTCAATCTTAATTTGTATCTTTTTGTACTTAGTGATACCGGGATTAGAAATTCTGAACTAGATGCACCTTCTCTGGCTTTAAGATCTGCCAGATCATTAAAAAAATTGCCCGAATGTCCTTTAACTTTGGTAAGGTGCAGCTTTAACTGTTTTGTCTGAACTACTTCTGTCAATGTTGTGATAAGGCCGCTATTTTTAATTTTAGCCACTGTCTTGTCTTATTTGATTCTAAACCTTTTTTAATTGCTAAGATTGCTGCTTTACTATCTGTTCTAATTTCAACTTCTTTTTCTTTTGGTGTTATTAATAAGGCAGTGTTGATCGCAACTAACTTGGCTCTGGTCAAAGAAAACCACCTTTCAGTTGCATATGCTATCTGATAGGTAATTTGTCCCAATCTGCTATTTGGATTACTCCACAGCCTATTTGCATTTTAAGATCATTTTCTGACATCCCAAGTGAGCCATTTGTGTAAAATAAAAGACTGTTTAACTTTCTATTTTGCTTTAAAATTTTGGCTAGTCTATTTCTAAGTTCTTTGTCTAAAACTACTTTATCTATTAATAGTTTTACCAGCTTTCAACTTCTATTATCGTACATCTTTTCTTTTTACACTTTGTAACTCTTTAGATAACACCAATATTTTTTTTTCTTCCTCTCTAACACTTTTTCAAGAGTATTTATGTTGAAAATCAGTTTTGTCCCTTTTTTTGTTCTTTGTACAAAGTTTGTAATGTCTCTTAGCTCTTTTCATTTAATTATTGATGTTCCTGGTCTACTACTATACTCTAAAGAATTTTGCTCGAGACTTGAACTTGCTATTACTAATTTTTTATAGTTTTCAACCTTTACATGCTTGTTTTCTTTTTCTTTGACTTTTCCAACTCTAATATTTTATTTTCTTTGTCTTTCCATGTAACTCACTCTTTTGTTCTCTTATCTTTTTTAACTTTTTCTATGACTAGATTGAGGTTGTTTCTGTCACGAAATACAA